CACTCCCAGCTTTTTGGCAGCAGTGTGTTGCACGCTGGCTCCTGGTAAATGATTGCCGGGGCGGCCGGCCGAGGTGGGGCCGGAGGTTGGTGCCGGGTTTGAGCCCAAGGAGGTGCCTGGGACTGGTGTGCTGGTGGCCATCCTGCTCCTGCACCCGGCAGCATTCAGCAACCACAGGACTTTTTGGGCAAGGTGAGGCTGTGTGATGCGACTCAAGAAGCTGGGAGATTGGGGGGGGGGGGGCGGTATTTATTTTTAAGCTCCTGGCCTCCCTACAAGGTCAGAGCAGGTGAAGCCGGGTTTGATGCTAGCCGGGTCCCTGGCTGGGGTGGGGGCAATGCTCCCCAGGATGCATTACCACCCCAAATTTGGCATTAGGGTGCCACAGCGGGGGGGGGAGGATGACACACAGTGGCTTCGGGGGGAGCCGGGGGGGGCCCTGGCTTCGGGGTGAGCTGGGTGGTGCCGGGGCAGTGTCTGGACTTTGCTCCACACCGGGGGCCGGTTGCAGCCTTGAATACACAGGGTGGGGGGAGTAGTACCAAAACCAAGCTTTGGAATGAAATTGGGCTAAACCTTGCAAATTTTAGTTTTGGGCTCACAGGGACGTCGGTCAAACCCAAGGTGCCCTTCACCCCCACCGGGTTTCCCCGGCCGCCCAGCCAAGGCAAACATGAGCTCAGTGCCGAGGTATTTGCAGCGGCTGCTCCATGCCTATGTTTCAGAGGTGGGCAGGGGGGTGGCACCGGTAGGACTCGGCGCCCATGGGAAATGGCCTCACCAAGCCGTATCTTCCCTGATTCCTCCTTGCCTTTCTCATGCCATGGCTAAAACCCCTTGTCACTGGAGGTGGGACCCTTTGAGCCTGCCTTTGATTACTCAAGCAGGCAACAAAAAATAAACAAGAAGTGGTGTTTAACCTAAGGTCAAGCTTTCTCACAGCCTGACTGCAAACTTTGGAGAGCTGGAGCTGAGGGATGGAGAGGCTGCGACCAGCCGGGTTAGGTTGGGAAAGTGTTTTGGGACCCTCTGGACAAAGGGCCTGGAGACTTCCTGTGTATGTTCCTCCACCCGGGGCTTTCAGACAAGCCTGATGCTAGAAAAAGCAGTGTTATTGGGGGAAGGGGGAAGATAGGTCTTTGCACAGTGTTTGAAAATACCATAAGCTCAAATATTTGAGTTCTTTACAGCTTGTGCTTTTTTTTTTTTAAGACTTTTGCCGTTGTTGAGCTGCTGGAAGAGGCAGGAGTCGGGTGCCCTGGGATAACGGGTGTTATTTTAATGCAGCAGAATTAGCGGCCGGGTGGGAGTCAGGCTGGGCCCTGATGTTGGGCAGAGCATCCCCAGGGCTCTGGGCTTCACCACAGGCATACATGCCTGGCTCCCCCTCCCAAACCTCACCTTTGGTCATGTTTTTGTGCAGAAAGAGGCTTTATTTTAATTTCTTAATCCCTCTCTGATAAATTGAGGTGGAGGTAAATAGATTAAAACATGCATTATCTGCAACCTCTCTCAATATCCCATTGCAAGGGTGGGTAGCTGGCGGTTTCTCTGCCTTTTCCAACATTATTTGGAAAATCCTCTGGTGCTGTGCTGCCAAATTGTCAGAGAAATCACAGTGAAAGTCCAGCAGACCCATTAAAAGTCTGTGCTCACAGCAAAAATAACTTAGGCACCTTCTTCTGGGCACCATGCAGGCACACAAACCCCATCATTTCTTAACCACAGGAAGGTTTGGACCTGCTGCCCAAACATAAGAAAAAAAAAAAAAAGAGGAAAAAAAAAGAAGAAAATGTGTTGTTGTTTGGGGTTTTTTCCAGATGAACATCGTTGTTTTAATAATATTAACAAAAATGTAATCCATGCAGAGATGGATGGATGGAGGGTGGCAGTGAGCAACTGCTTGGTCTAGGATGGACCTTATGGGATGCTGGCGTTAAAGATGGTTTAATGACGCTGCTCTTAAAGCATCTCTTATTTCTCATTAGCAGCTTGGGATGGAAACCTGGTTTCTTTTCTCCCCACAGGCAGCCCATCCTGCGATGACCCAGCGTGCCTGAGGCCTGGCAACCGCAGGGATGGAGCTGAAGGTCTGGGTGGATGGGATCCAGAGGGTCGTCTGTGGCGTCTCGGAGCAAACCACCTGCCAAGAAGTGGTCATCGCCTTGGCGCGGGCCATCGGTGAGCCATCTCCATCTGCTGGGGGGGATGCCCCTTTGCAGGCAGAGGCATCTGCCAAGGGTGTGCCCCATCTGCAGGTGCTTCCTGGGAAAAGGAGACCTTGGGTGGGTGGGGGTCCTGCTCTGGGGTGGTGGGGATGTCACCAGTTGCTGCTTGTAGGGCAGCAGCCTCAGCACACCACTGCTGGCTGTGGCTTTCCCTATCTGATGCGGTCTCCTCCTCCTGGCCGGTCAG